CCCCAAAACCCCAAAACCCCAAAACCCCTTATTTTAAAATATTTATTGAAAATGCAGCCTAGTTTGAGGTAAATTTAGTCCAGATTCAGCAGTAATATTTAGTGTGGATTACTCAATTCACTCCAGGAAGAAAAGCCATTGATCAAGGTACAGTACAAGTGAGTTACTCTATTTGCTTAAGTATTGCTAACCTCTGTCCAATAGTGATTCATAAGGGAAAACTTCACCCAAACGAAGAAGGAATTTTAAGAAACCATGTGATGAGTCGGAACTCAGCATCAACCATTATTCCAAAGGATGTACACTCCTCTCTAACTTCTCTGTAGAAACCTGGGATTAGTCTAGATGCAGACTTTGGATTCTCAATGTTCATGTCTATCTATGGCTGTAAGTCAATACTTTCTTGCTTTATTCAAAAACTTCACAGGTCCGGCTGATCCCTCAAGTAAGCAGAAGTACAAACTGAAGAAGAAGCAGGTTGAAGTAACACCAGCGACAGAGCTGCCTAAAATTTGTTTGCAGAGTATAACCAAAAAATTTAAACTGCAATGGTCAAAAGTGCAACAGAAAATCTCACTTGACCAGAAGAGGTATGCCATTTCTCCCAATTTTTAGAGAAGAGCTCAAGACAAAAAAGGTGAGGGGAGAGAAATCTGAAGAAGTCAAGGTACATTTTTAGCATAAATCCTTTAGAAAAGATACCAGAAGCTTCAGAGTACAAAGCCGTTGTGTCAATTTTAGAGTATTTGGACAGAAAATAACCAACTTCTCAGAGAGAATATTAAGAGAAAACCCTTGACTAAGATGCCAATTGAAAATAATATTAGTGTTAGGGAAGAACCTGAACCTGATCAGCCTAGTTTGCCAGTGGTGAAGCAGTTTCTTAAGAGAAAATTACCGAAATCTGATAATTTGATTCGGAAAAAGAAGGGGTATTACCAAAGCAGAGCTTATATGAAGTGGCTTTATGAGAAAAAGGTTGAAGAAGATAAGCAAACTTTGGATGAGATAGTAGCTTTTGTCATTATTTTTAGGAGAAAAGAATTCGAAAATCATCACAGAACTCTTATTCTCAGAATATTAGGAGGAAAAATAAAAATGCAAATCGTAATTTAAAGAGTTATGTTATAGAAATTGATGATTTTTACAGTCCTTTATCTTCTGCTAAGATTGGAAAAGCTTGAAAAGCAACTTCTACATCTCCAAGACTACCGACAGTCACTGGCTCATCCACAAATTTCCAACCATATTCTAATTCATAAACACTCCTAGGCCCAAATTCCAATCCCTACCTCATAAAAAATGTCTAAAAGCCTCTCAGTTCACTCCAAAATGTAAAAACAATCATTTTTTAAAAACTATCTTTTCAATTAAGATTTTCTTTAAAGGGGTTTTGGGGTTTTGGGGTTTTGGGGTTTTGGGGTTTTGGGGTTTTGGGGTTTTGGGG